CATCCATCCATCATCCATCCATCATGTAATATCTTTATTTGAATAACTCACCGCTGACATCACAGCAGACAAAGCTGCGCTTCCACTCACAGGGCGCATCGTTCCAGACTCCACTGTAGTAGATCTCTGCACACTGGACTTTACCAAGCGCATGGTTGGGTTCTCCCTGGTTCCAGTTCCTGAAGCCAGACTGGTTCTGGTGGAGGCCCGGCATGGACCAGCTCCAGCTCGTCATGCTGTTGTACAAACCGATCCACGCACGCTGGGAAACACACACAGCCCGGTTTGTGCTGCTAAGCCACTCATCTTCCAAACTGTTTACAGCCTTCTGAGAGGGACATTATACGAGGAGCCTAAAAGTAAAAAGAACTGCTCACAGTTTCCCCATTTAACTCATTTTACTCACGATTGAGACATCCGGACATGTGGTTACATGTCAATGAATATCAAATGTTAAATCTAAAGGTAAATGTTCAATCTAAGAGTTAAATCTAAATGGTAAATGTTGAATCTAAATGTAAAATCAAAGTAATAAATGTTAGATATAAATATCTAAATGTCAAATGTAAGTGTTGAATGCAAAATCTAAGTGTTAAATGTTAAATCTAAATGTTAAACCTAAGTATTAAATTTTGAATCTAAATGTTAAATCCAAGTGTCAAATGTTACATCGAAATGTCAAATGTTGGATCTAAATGTGAAAACTGATCATTTATTTTGTCGTTACATTCTAACCATTTTTCATAATTTGAACTACAGTTTTCAGCTGCTCTTCATCACATTTATCCATTTTTCTTTGGTTTTCATGATATTAAACTCATTCTAGTGAGTAAAACACCCTCATCTTCCTCTTATGTAACATGTGTGAAGCTTTTTTCTGATGGGCTGTTGGAAAAGAGGAGAAAATAAAGCATTTACATAGCTGTAGTGGGGGTAGACCATCTGGCTCAGGACTGCCATGCCTCTGAGGACGGTCACATCCTCCTGGTTCCGCACAGGGACCAGGTCGGAGTGGTTCTCTGTGCAGTACCTCCGCGCCTCGGTCCAGTTCTTCGGCTCATAAATAAAGTGGTACTCACCCCGGGGGACGGGGGAGGTGGCCCCTAGCGCTGCGGGGGGAGAAAGTGTTAAAAACATCCAAAGATGGAGATGATTTCACCTCCAAACGGTGGGTTTTCCAGCTGAAAACCCCTCAGTCACAGCTGGAGCTACTGGACCTGGATCTATCTATCTATCTATCTATCTATCTATCTATCTATCTATCTATCCATCCTGACCTGAGGCAGTGAGGACCAGCAGCAGTGTCTCCATCCTCCCTGCGTCTGATCTGTGAATCTCTGCTGCTCTTGAATACATTTCAGCTCCAACATGCAAACCGTGGCAGCCATTTGCCTTCCAGGCGGCAGCTGTTTGTTCAGAGACCTGCTGTCGTGTCAACACGACCCTAGTTGCCTTTAAATCCCAAATGAGGGATTTGCCCGGAGGCCTCAGACCAGACGAAGGCCTGTGGTCCCCCCCTTCACCACTGAGTTCACTCATTTCCCCTTTGAACGACAGGGTTCAGCTTTCAGCCGCAGCCAGGAGAATCTACAACCTACACAGTCTGCACAAAAACGCTGGTAAATACCAAGAGACCAAATCTTTGGTGAGAAACTCACTGAAATACAGTGTGGCGGTTTAAAATGTCTACATTGTGTCACATTCATTTGATTTTGTTCACTTGATTTTGGGCTTAATTTTGTGCCCGTTTCACACATAAAGAGTGGAAACGGTTGAGTCGTGTCAGTTTCTGCGGTGTTGTGTTGGGGTCAGTCAGGCTGAGCAGGAAGTGGACTGTGATTGGCTGCTCCCCTCCAGGAGGCCCAGCAGTGACCCTGGACCACATTGGACATTGGTACTCATCAATAACCTTTGACCTTCTCTAGCCCCTGACCATAGTCCCTAAAACATGGCGTTTCTTCTTTTTAAGTTCTTTTTGTAGTTCTGACCTTGATTCCCAAGAGTCTGAAGTTCTATTTTTACTGGTGTCTGTGTTGGTTTTTATCTCTTTTGGTTTCTTGGCTTTGTTTTTGCTTTTGTGGTTTCTTTGCTGTAGTTTCTGTTTGGCTCTTTTTTCTTTTCTGCTCATTGTATTTTTTCTGGTCTCATTTCTCTGTTAGATACAGTTTTTCTGTTCATCATCTTTATCCTCATCTTTCCCAGCTGCCTATCAACGTGCCATGGTCAGGCCCCTACTTCAGAAGCTAATACTGGCCCTACAGTGCTGTCCAATTTTAGACCAGTCTCTCACCTGCCTTTTCTTTCAAACGTTTTCAGAAAAAAATGGATTTGTACAGCTACAAGTCTATTACAACTGAACTCTGTTTTTGAAAACTGTAATTCTGGTGTTAGACTACGTCACAGCACTGAGTCTGCACTGTTGAGGGTACATGGTGATATTGTCTCTTCTGTAGATGGTAGGAATCCTACTGTTTTAGTCCTCTTGGACCTCTTGGCAGTTTGACACAGTGGAACATGCTGTCCTCCTCTCTCTGGGAATTGTGTAGACATCAGAGGCTTGGCACTCAAATGGTTCAGCTCCTATTGTCAAACAGGAGCTTTTCTGTTATGATTGGTGACCTCTCCTCGTCAATTGCTCCTCTCTTTTGTGGGGTACCACAGGGATCCATTCTTGGCCCTATTCTGTTTTCTTTATGTATGCTGCCTTTCGGGGCCATTATAAGGAAGCACAACTTGTCCATTCATAGCTACGGAGATTATTTGCAAATCTATTTGCCTGTGAAAGCAAATGACAGTGTCCCACTAAACTCCTTGCTTAACTACATCACTGATATTAAGTTAAGGCTTCCAGACAACTTTCTTAATTTGAATTAAAGTAAAACAGAGAGCAGTACTTTCAGTACTCCAAGCATGTAGAATGGTCCATGTTTGAGTTTGGGAGCTCTGGCATGTTACACTAGATCAGCTATCAAAAACTCGGGGGTTACTTTTGATTGCAGCATGAAATTTGATAAACAGACCAGTAATGTCGTTAGAATGAGCTTTTTCGAGCTTCGTCTGCTGGCTAAATTTAAGCCTTTTCTGAGCAGGCACAACCTAGAAAAGGCCCTTCATGCTTTCATTAGTTGGACTACTGTAA